ACCCCTTCCACACTGACTCAGCCCGTAGCTATTAGCTACCACTTCCTTTGCCAACAGCCCTGTCTTTGGGAGGCACTGTGATTGTTAAGTGACCTTAACGATGTTGAAATGACCTTGTTACCCTCACAAGATGTCCTGCATGTAGCTGGGAACACAGCCTAGACTTGAAACTTGTTCTTTATAAACGGGGACACTGATAATTACTTTGACAACAGTAGAGAGGCTGGGAGGCTAGAGGCCCGGTACAGGACAATGAAACCAGACTAGAGTCATTAGCATTTAAAAGGTTGTAAGAGCAATTAGCACCTCATTAATATGACATAAATGCAAATTTACAGAGCTCCCTTGTGACCTCCAATTCTTTCCGCCCAACCAAGGAAGGCAGTGTGTGTGTTAGGAAGCACCACTCTGAGACGCCCCCACGCAGACAGGGAACAGTTCCACTGCCCAGGCTCTTTGAAGAGGCCCAGAGAAGAGACTTCACTCAGGGCTGGAGTGGCCACTTCACGGAGACCCGGGCAGCGCTGTCAGATGAAAGGCACTATGGGAATTCCACAGCCACAGCAGGCTGGGTTCAGTGAGGAGCTTGGCTGACTGCTGCACATGACAGGATGGTGACAGAGCGCAGTGACACCGAGGTGGCCCCCAGGAGAGCTGCTGCCATGCTGAGAAGGCAGAGGCTGGCAGGGATCTGCACAGCTGAGGGTTTGGGTTGTTTTTTTTTTTTTTCCCATCAAAAACCCACAGCTGATGATCAAAGCAATCACCTTAAATAATTGATTTCCTTACACCAATACAAAAAAAAAAAAGAAAGAAAGAAAGAAAGAAACCCCTCCTGAGGGCTATGAACAGTGGAAGATATAATCGCACCACTAGGAATGAGAGGTGCTTGGAGAGATGAGTTCTGAAGGCCCGAGGGTGTGATTAGAGTGCCCCACATCAAAGGACGGTGTTCTAAAATAGCTCACCCTGAAAACACTTCACACAATACGTTGTCAATAGCACCCCAGATAAGAATATGCCATAAGAGCATCTTTCTGCCCCTTATGTTTATCACCAGCATGTCAAGCAGGGAGGGGAAGAGGACAAACTATGAGAAGGAAAAAGGGGTCACTGGAGAGAGAGTGAGTTCCTGGAGGAACAATGTCCCATCGCTACTGTTACCTGGGAAGATCGTTGAACCAACACAAAAACACACTCACAAACACAACCTAACACACACACAGGGCATGCACAAACACACACACACACACACACACACACAGGACATGCACAAACACACACACACACACACACACACACATATACACAAACAGGCTTACAAACAAACCCACAAATACTTTCATACATACTTACAAATAAAAATACACAAACATAATAAAAATCACACAAACACACAGGGAACCGCGTACAAAATATGCTCACATATATGCATATATATGCTCACAAACACATACACATACTCACCAACATACAAACACACAACTTGCGCCAGAAAATGTCCCACTCAACAGTCCTAGGTATTCCCCATCAAGTCGTGGGGTAAGGTTTTTATGGTACTCAGTCCAGACACTTGGAGGCAACAGCCCCTGAGCCCAGAGCCTCTGCAGTATCTCTTCTATTTCATGGTGGTCCACGGTGGAAATCTAGCCCAAACAGTTGTAAAGGGAATATTGGGTCCTTGTGTGTTCAAACACTGCAGGGCACCATGGGTGGTTGTGAGCAAGTAGCCACCTGGAAGAATGCGGCACGGGGGATGAGACAGACAGACAGACAGACAGACAGATCCCAGCAGGCTCTCACAGCCATCACCAGGATAAAAAGAACCAAGCAGAAAGCTGGTGCCTCCAAAGGATGAGAACATTTCAACAGCACCAAGGGGAAAGAGGCAGCCTACCCTGGCAGAAGAGACCAGTGTCAACAGAGGCGCAAAGCTGCGCTCAGAACGCAGGTCAGGGGCCATGGTGAGAAGTGTCCATAGTGAGCAAAGCGGTAAAGGAAGTGGGACGTGGCCCAGAAGCATGAGTCACAGCTGGAGCTTGGTGCTCCCTAAGACGGGCCCCAGGATGTCTCCACAGATGATGGGTCTGAAAACCCCACCATCACCTGCTTTCATTGTGAGGACCCTGCTCCATCCACATCCCGATGACCCGGTCAGTTTTCCCCACTCTGTCCTGTGTCTGCCTCAATGGGTCCACATGGTTCTGTCTTCATGGGCACTGAATTGGGAGAGAACCAGGGGTGACGTCATGCATTAGAAGGACAGGTGAGCCAGGAAAATGGCCAGGTACACCACAGAACACTCCATGATGGAAAACTCTATAAAAGTACCAACAGAGGAGGTCCTTGCTGGAGAGCAGAGTCACCCAGCTCTCAAGAGCCAAATTCCTCAGGCCCTGGCCAGCCTCCACACCATGACTTAAACGTGTGAACAAGGAGCATCACAAAATGTGTGGTTTTCAGTCTGGTGTGTGCCTTATTAGGAAAGGGTTTGCTTTTCCCTAATAACAAATACGCTCAGAACTACATGCACAGAAAGGTAGGTTCCCAGATGTGCGTTTGTGTGAACAGAATTCATTTCATACATCACTTGGTGGCGAGGTCTCCTTTCTTCTTTACAAGGGGTCCCTGGGGGTCCAGAAACTCTGCAGATCAGTTCACTGAGAGCAGACCTTCACTGCTGCTGCCAGGAGAGCCCTGGCATGTAGAAGGAATTTGATGGAGTCGTGGCATCTATTGGGAGCAGGGTAGGTTAACCCCCCAGGTACTGTAGTCAGCCTTTGGCAAAGCAAGTTATGGAGGGCAATGGTGTATAGGGTCACCAGGAGGAACAGACATCTCGTGAGACCGATGGCCATGACAGAACTCAGAGAAGGAGACTTGGGAATCAGGAACTCAGGCTGTTATTGAGATTTCAGGCCACAGACTGGAGATACAGCTCAGCAGGTAAAAGAAATCTGTTCAAACATGAGGACCTAAGTTTGAATCCAAGCATCCACATAAAAGCTGTGCACAGCCAAGTGTGACCGTGACCTCAGTGTTGGGAGGTGGAGATGGGAATTGCAGACGCTTGCTAATCAGACAGTAGCTGAAATAGGAGCTTCTGGTTGTGTGAGACCCTGTCTTAGGGTAGAGAGACCCTGTCTTAATGCAGGTAATAAGGTAGAAAGCAACAGGGCAGAACAATCATGTGCCTCTGTGCACACAAGAATCTATGCACCTGCACACACATGTACATGCACACCAAAGTACACCATCACACACACA